ATATTTGATATTAGAGGCTACTGACCTCACAGTTTGTGTGTGAATGAGTGCCAGGCATTTCTAGTATTGCTTGTTGCCTACCTGATATAAACTTCAAGCACTGTTGAAGTCTGTCAAGCACACAAGATTATAATCAAGTTATGTTAGGCAGCTGCAAGATTAGCCTAAGGAAGCCATCTAGGCCCACACTTTGCTAGCTATAGGCTGTAGTTTGATCATGCGTAGCCCACATTTGGTAGTTTGAGGGAGGTTCCTTCCAAAATTGTTTCCTAAAGTGTTTTGTACTTTTGCAAACCTTGAGGATTCTCCTTGAGGATTCTCTTGTGTGCTGATAGCACTATTTAGCTCACCTAAGGATCACACTTAGCAAATAAAATTGCTAGTAGTGTACAGATTTCTTTTCTCAACTGTAGTTTTACTTAAAGAGAGTTTGGTCAACTCAGGACATGGAGGTTTGCTAAGAGTTGTTTTCTAGAGTCAAGCACACTTACTAAGCTTACGTATGTAATTTTAATCTTTAACCTAAACCTCCCATTATTTTGAATCATGATACAAGCTAGTGCCTCAAAGTGGAAAAAGCTCATTGTCTCTTGCAGCAATGGAACCCTCTCAATAAAGCATTATCTATATTTGTCTGAAGTCCCTTTTATAATGGAAGCTTATGTTACCCTTCCTGTCAGAAAAGAAAGGTTTGCGAGTAGATGAAGAGAACAAAGCATTTCATACCAATACTAATACTGGGCACGTGTTTGAATTATCTTTAAAAAAAGATACTCCTTTATGCAATCAGGGATCAAAGGCTCTGTGTGAGCAATTTTGTAGATAATGTTGCTTGAATTTGTCCATGACTAGGCATCCATAACGTGACTAAATGGTGCACTAGCCTGTCCGTTTCAGATAAACAGCACCCATGTTAGTCCTATTCAGCAAATAGCTTCTGCAATGTTAATTAGTGGCATTCCTATTTCATGTTTTGCCCATTTTAATGCTTTCTGTCCAGCATGACCAGGTAGGGGATTCACTGATCACTGCTAAGGAATTGTATCTGTCCCTCTCTTTAATTATTAGTTTCCTTTCAGTATTTAAGTACTCGATTGAGCAATATTGCTATGAGAAAAAAACATGAAAGGAACAAGCCCTCCCCCAAATTAATAGATACTACAGAGCCCATTGGAGAAAATTGGAGATATGAAGGGAACATTTCATGCAAAGATGGGCATGATAAAGGACCAAAATGGCAGGGACCTATCAGAGGCAGAAGAGATTAAGAAGAGGTGGCAAGATAACACAGAAGAACTATACAAGAAAGAGCTTAACGTCCCTGATAACCACGATGGGGTGGTCACTGACCTCGAGCCTGACATCCTGGAATGTGAAGTCTAATGGGCCTTAGGAAGTCTGAGCAACAACAAAGCTAGTGGAGGCGACAGTATTCCAGCTGAGCTATTCAAAATCCTAAAAGACGATGCAGTAAAAGTGCTACACTCAATATGCCAGCAAATTTGGAATACTCAACAGTGGCCACAGGATTGGAAAAGGTCAGTTTACATTCCGATCCCAAAGAAGGGCAATGCCAAAGAATGTTCAAACTACCGCACCATTGCACTCATTTCACATGCTAGCAAAGTTATGCTCAAAATCCTACAAGCTAGGCTCCAGCAGCATGTGGACCGAGAACTACCAGAAGTACAGGCAGGATTTCGAAGAGGGAGAGGAACTAGAGATCAAATTGCCAACATACGCTGGATCATGGAGAAAGCTAGGGAGTTCCAGAAAAACATCTACTTCTGCTTCATTGACTATGCTAAAGCCTTTGTGTGGATCACAACAAATTGTGGCAAGTTCTTAAAGAGATGGGAGTACCAGACCATCTTATTTGTCTCTCGAAAAACCTATATGCGGGTCAAGAAGCAACAGTGAGAACTGGGTATGGAACCACTGATTGGTTCAAAATTGAGAAAGGGGTTCGGCAAGGCTGTATACTGTCGCCCTGTCTATTTAACTTATATGCAGAGCACATCATGAGAAAGGCGGGGCTAGATGAATCACCAGTTGGAATTAAGATTGCTGAGAGAAATATCAACAACCTCCGATAGGCAGATGATACACTCTCATGGCAGAAAGTGAAGAGGAACTAAAGAGCCTCTTGATGCGGGTGAAGGAGGACAGTGCAAAAGTTGGCTTGAAACTCAACATTAAGAAAACTAAGATCATGGCATCTGGTCCTATCACTTCCTGGCAAATAGATGGGGAAGAAAAGAAGGTAGTGACAGATGTTACTTTCCTGGGCTCCAAGATCACCACAGATGGGGGCTGCAGCCAAGAAATTAAAAGACACTTGGCTCCTGGGGAGGAAAGCTATGGCAAATCTAGACAGCATACTAAAAAGCAGAGACATCACCCTGCCAACAAAAGTGCGTATAGTCAAGGCTGTTTTTCCCAGTTGCAATGTATGGCTGTGAAAGCTGGACCATAAGGAAGGCTGAGCGCAAAAGGATTGATGCCCTTGAATTGTGGTGCTGGAGGAGACTCTGTGAGTCCCTTGGACCGCAAGGCAATCAAACCAGTCAGTCCTAGAGGAGATCAACCCTGACTGCTCTTTAGAAGGCCAGATACTGAAGATGAAACTCAAATACTTTGGCCACCTAATGAGAAGGAAGGACTCCCTGGAGAAGAGCCTAATGCTAGGAACAATAGATGGCAAAAGAAGAAGGGGACGGCAGAGGATGAGGTGGCTAGATGGAGTCACAGAAGCAGTTGGAGTGAGCTTGAGTGGACTCCGGGAGATGGTGGAGGACAGGAAGGCCTGGAGGAATGTTGTCCATGGGGTCACGATGGGTCAGACACGACTTCGCAACTAACAACAACACAGAGCCCATGATTTTTAACATCTACATGAAACTGCTGGGAGAGGTTATCCAGATGTTTTGGCTGAAGTGCCATCAATATGCAGATGATACTCAGCTCCACCTCACTTTTTCATCAAATCCAAGTACAGAGGTGGCCATACTGAATCAATGTCTAGGCTCAGTAATGGACTGGATAAGGGCCAATAAGCTGAGTCTCAATCCAGACAAGATGGAGTTGCTGTTGGTAGGCGGATAGTCTGTCCCATTGAGAGACATTCAACCTGTCCTACACAGTTTGCACTCCCCCTAAATGACAAGGATCATCATTTGGGGGTGCTCCTGGACCCAGAACTGTCACTTGAGTGGCACAGAGCACCTTTTATCAGTTTAGGTTTTACCAACTATGACCCTGTAAGGACAGGCAGAGCTTGGCTAGTTATCCATGCTCTGGTAACTTTCTGTCTGAATAATGTGTTCTTCATGGAGCTGCCCTTGAAACTCCAACTGATTCAGAACAGAGCAGCACAGCTTTTAGCAGGGACTGGCCCACAAGTTCACACCACGCCTGTCCTCTTTCAGCTGCATTGGCTGCCAGTTGGAAGTCTGGGCCCAAATCAAAGTGATGCTTTTAACATTCAAGCCCTAAACTAACTGGGGCCAGGTTAAGTGAAGGAATACTTGGTCCCGTATGTTCTACATGGCCTCTACTGACGTCCTTCTCAGGGAACCTCCCTTGAAAGAAGCAAGCAGGGTGGCAACCAGGAGAAGAGCCTTTTCAGTAGTAGTAGCCCATCTCTAGAACATGCTTCCCAGAGAGGTCTGCCTGGCACCATCTTTCTTTTTGGTGCCACGTGAAATTTTTCAGACATTAATAAAGGTAAAGGTTTCCCCTTGATGTTAAGTCCAGTCATGCCTGACTCTAGGGGGCGGTGCTCATCTCCGTTTCCTAGCCGAGGGAGCCAGCATTTGTCCACAGACAGTCTCCGTGATCATGTGGCCGGCATGACTAAACACCGAAGTACACGGAACGCTGTTACCTGCCCACTGAAGTGGTTCCTTTTTATCTACTTGCATTTGCAGGTTTTCGAACTGCAAGGCTGGCAGGAGCTGGGACGGAGCACGGGAGCTCACCCCATGTGCAGATTCGAACCAGTGACCTTTCGATCAACCAGCCCAGCAGCACAGTGGTTTAAACCACTGCGCCACCTGCAGTCCCCCTCAGACATTAGACATTAATAGATCAGTGTTAATTTTTAATACTATTTCACTGCTATTACTTGTACTACTACTACTACTATTGCTGCACCATATGGTAATCATTATAGTTGCCGTGGGTTGTTGATCTCTTTATACTGGTTTTATTGTTTTACTCTTTCATCTAAATGTTATTTGTATTGATTATTTATGTTTCTCAATCTGTAAAGCACCCAGAGAGCCTGTGGGCTATGGGGTGGTATAGAAGTTAAACAAACACGCAAACAAACAAATCTCTTTTGAGAGAAATTAGTCTTTCCACATAAAAGGGTATATGCCAGAGCAGATTCCTGTTGGGCAAGCATTTGGATAATTAAACAACATAATACATGAATTTTATTGTGGTCTCAATATGCAGGAACACTTGAGTTTTATTCAATAGGATCTTTGCAAAGCATTTTCATACTGTGGATTTCAATAAATCTTATGGGCTACTATCATGGTATGATACCTTCAGTAGGTTTATATGCAGTATGTCAGGGGTGACTAGACTTGCTCAACAGAAGAGCCACATAAGGTAAATGTCAGGTGTTTGAAAGCTGGAAGTGGCTGCTTGCAGGTAGTGCCCACAGGCTGCAAGCAGCAGGCAGGTGCCTGTGGGTGGTGGCAAGCACCGAGTGGGTGCCTATGGGCCCCCACAGGTGGCAAGCCACAAGGTGCAAAATAAACTCAAAGAGCCGCATGCAACTCCTGAGCCACAGTTTAGCCACCCCTGCATATAAATTCCTCATACTATGTCTGTTACTTTTGTGTTCTCTTTGGTAGATACCTGTGAGGTATGGCAATTCTGTCTGGCGGCAATACATTTGATAAACTTGTTTTGTGGTCCTCTTGGATGTAATCTATCTAAAAGAAAAATGACTTGCACCAATGCTTTTGTAAGAAGAGATCTGCTCCTTCTTATATAACAATCAATATTTTATTAATGAACATGGTGAAGTTTTAGCTATCCACCAAAGATGTGTAAAAAAATTGCAGAAAATAAAAATAAATAAAGCTGGTTTTAAATCAGACTTGTTTTACCATCTGTGTTCAGAATGCAACATTTATAAACCACACAAAAATGTCATTAAAGTTTTAAAGTAATCTACTGATATTCAAATTACAGCTTTTTATGACAAATCTAATGATATCTGAAACTGATTTGGTTTTAGGTTTAGTGACTTGAATATTCAAATACAGTGTCTTGTTTCTCACAATACTTCCCCTTATTGTGATGGGCAACAGTGATGACATATTGTTGGCTTTTTGACATAAGGCACTATGATATGAATATGCCATACTCTTGCCTTATGTCAGAGATCTGTTACTGACCAGTGACTGCTATCAAATACAAAAAATGGTATTGTTTCAGGATACAGTGCAGCAATAGATGGATATCATGTGACGTCTTTCGGCAAACATTTTGAAATGCAAGCCTATATTGAATACATAAGCTTTTTGTCATGCTGCTGTTTTTTGCGCGACAGTCACTGGGTAATAATAGACTAGCTACCCATCACTCAGTCCAATACACATACATTCTCATCACCATTTTGTTCTTCCCTATTGTCATCAGTCTTCTTGAGGCAAAGATGACCCAGTAACTTCACTCAAGTTCTTCTACAGAGGCCTTTACATTCATAGCAATCAATCAGTTTCACCTTCCTTTTGTTTGGCACCTATGAGAAAAATAAGAAGTTAGGTGTGGGAAATTTCCTTACAACAAATTCTCTCATTTATGCCCCCTGTTCCTTACGTCTTGCATCAAATTTGCTTTTGCTGTGACGTATCATTGCATTTATCCAGCACTTAGAAGACAAGGTTTTGTGCCTAGCAGAATTAGCTACTTCCATCCTCAGATATGCCTGAATTGCTGTTGTGTGGACATGTTACAAACTCTTTGTTGTTGTTAGTGGCAAAGATGTGCCCAACCCATCACGACCCCACAGACAACATTCCTCCAGGCTCTCCTGTTCTCCACCATCCCTTGGAGTCCACCCAAGTTCAAATCCACTGCCCCAGTGACTCCATCTAGCCACCTCATCCTCTGCCGTCCCCTTCTTTTGCCGTCAAATATGATTAGTAATAGCTGAACCATTCTTCCTTTAATGCAGGCACTATTTTACAAAGTTATAGGTTTCAATGTTTAGGATAATTTCACTCCAGAAGCATAAAAGAGAAGCCTATCATAACTTGAGAACATAGCTGGACTATACTATGCCGACTTCACATCCTCACAGGCTTTATTTACTAGAGGCCCAACAAAACATGCCCAATCCCTACTTAGGATCACTCAGTCACGCCCAGTAGTATTCACACTTCTGACTCTTTGATATAAAGGGGACCTTTTGCATGCTGGCCATCTCTGCACATAGCTTGAAAGGGACTAAGGCAACCATTCTAGAAAAATACTTATATCTATTGTGCCTTTGGCCAAAAATTGTCTTTTTACAGAAGCTTGGATCAATATCTATGTATGGATCAACATCTATGGAATGCGGTCCCCAGAGAGGTTCGCCTGGCGCCGTCATTATATGTTTTTCGGTGGCGGGTTAAGACCTTTTTATTTCCTCAATATTTTAATATAGCTTTAATATTGTATTTTTTAATATTATATTTTTAACTGCAACCAGAGTGGGTCAACTTGTTTATGTTGATTTTTATGTTGATATTTTGTTATAATTTATGTATATTGATATTTGTATTTTATTTATGTAAGCCGTCCTGAGACTTTTGCAATAGGACAGCATATAAATATTACAAATAAATACATAAAAATATGAATATTTGTAATATATATTTTAAATGACCATTTCAAAGCGTAAATTCAACTGAAATACTTTGTACCTTCTATTGTTTTAAACTTTTCTGCTAAGCTGGCACAATGAGCCAGATCCAAAGTTCCACAGCTGCTCTAATGTCCTCACAGTAATTCTGGACAGTGCCAACTTTTCCTCACTTGTACCATCAGAAGCAGCTCACTGTGCAAGCTGAAGGTGCAAGCACAGACCTGTCAGTGACGGTGCAGTGTGAGTGAGAGAGATCAGTGCACACTGTAAAGGTCCCACATGCTGCCTGGCTAATGCAGAACCAGAAATGGTATTCCTGTTCACACTGTATTTGCTCTCAGGCTGCATTTGCTTTTAGATCGTGGATTTTCTCATTTTGGAGGTTACAACTAAAGAATATGCTAGGGTAAAGAGAAGGTATTGGGGGATAGCTCAAAGAAGTGGGGATACTATCACTGGAGACATTGCAGTTCAGTTATGAAGCTTGAAAACTACTTTCTATGCTGCTGTATTAAAAAGCTATTAAGGAAGTATAGCATCCATACCTGCTGGTGTGAGTACTAATGCTTGTAGGATGTCAGAGAGGGAGATGATACCAACAATACTATCTGCTTCATTCACCACCACCAACCTATGAACCTGCAATTGGGAGAAACACATAAGAGATCACTGAATGTCTCCATTAGAAATAAAATCCACATTCAGATTGTTAAGAGCTAGCAGAATCAAGTTATTTAAGAGGACTCCCAATCCTCGAAATTAAATACTGTATAAAAAAGCTATTTGAAAACCTGTTTTTATTTTGCTCCATGGAGCAATTTAAACTGAATTGAATGTTAAGTTCAAAGAGGTAACATTAACAATTGGTTCTGTTTCCAGTGCTGTCAACTTGATCAAACCATTTAGTTTTAGTAACAAGTCAAGAGTCCTGTTCTCTCTCACTGTTAGCTCTGTGCATTCATACTCCATTTCTGTTTTGCACATACAACAGATGGTCTAGTTGTTCTTCTATTAGAGCAGGTACATGTTGTACAGTATTAAAACACATTTCATATCACAGCTACAAAAGAGTAACTGTCAAAATTCTAACATTATATAGTATCAAAGACTGTTCACAGGTACATACAAAGGTAACTCAGAATACTGATGACATTTTCTTCATCGCTTTGTCAGAGTAGAAAATAAAGCTCAACAGAAATTGTTCTTGTTCATTGAAAATATATTCAAGTAGAATGTTCTTGTTAAAAATAGACATTGTAACCCAAACACTGCAACACAAGGAACTGACTAATGCTAACAAGTCTATTTTAAATTTAAAAGTGAAGCGTAATGTTACTTGTTTCATACACAGTTAAATTATATTTAAAATTAGAAAAATGTAATTAAAATTTCATCCTAATGGTGTATCCTTACAGTTTATGCACTGCACTCCAGATTGCTAAAAGGTATATATTTCGTTTATTTTGTGCTGTCTCAGTAGGGCTTTTAAATAGCAAACACTCTTCATGGATTACTTTTGAAACTCCTTAGTTTTGAAAGCAGCTTGTAGTATGGCAGCAGTAGCAAGTTTTGGGGTTACTGTACAACAAACCAGGCATGTGCCATGCACCTCTGGTCTTTCTCCACGCACACACACACATCTCCAAGTGACTGAACGAGGGTGCAGTCAATTGTATAATACTTGAGAGACATGTAGGAATGCAGGCCTAATTCTGCAACAACCAGGCCAACCTCTCCTTCATGTCCAGGATTTCCACAAACATTTGTGTCACAGGTTGGTCATTTGTGTCTTGCATTGGTGAAAGGGACAGCTGTTTGAGAGACGAAAGTTCACAGCCTTGCCTGACATGTAAAGCTTAACCTTGCCATCATTTTCACTTTATAATCTGATTTGGAAAGTTTGGCCATATTTGGACAATCCAATCTCAGTTTAAGCAGCCAAGATATGAACAAACCTCCTGCAACAAGCCTCATCCCATATGAGTAGGAAACAAGCCAGGAAGCAGCAGCTAACCATAGTTTCCCATTACATCTGAACCGGAAACAATGATTAATGGATTCCAAACAAGTCACGACATGGAAGCCAACTTAAGCAACAGCTTCATATCCTGGCTTGTTTGGAATCCATTAACTAGTTTCCCTAATCCTAACCCCTTTAATCTAATCCAGGCAACACAGTGGTAGTTCTACACCAGAACTAGGATACAGAAAAGTACTGAATAAGGGCCAATAAAAAACTCGGTTCAGGTAAGTTTCACTTGCACAGACCTTGGTGTCTGACCAGTTGTGGAGGGAGTTGTACTTGCCACTAAAGGAAGTATGAGCAGCTGTTTAGATCCCATATTGTTACTAGAATCAGAAGGGGCATCAATGGAACACCATTTATCATCTTACACTGGTAACTGTGACCCACTCCCACCCCATTTGGCATGCTTAGCTACTGAAGTTTTTCCTGGACTAGGTGCTGTGCAGGCACACAAAGCCATATAGAGACCGTAAGGAAAAACTACTGTTATCCATGCTCCTGCAAAACCACCCGTTTTGGATTATTGGCATATGCTATACCTAGATAGGTCTTTAGACCTGGGCTGGAAACACCAGCTAATCAAAATTTGGGCCACAGGACAATTAACTGTGAATGGCCCGTATGCTACACCAATACTTCATCTGTGGTGGCTACCAATTTGACATGCTGCTATTACGCCTTAAAAACCATAAAAGGTTTGGAACCAGGTTACCCAAGCATTTCCTAATCTTAAATATAGTAAAATAGAATCTAAGGTCATCGCCAGGGTCTGGTGACTAACGTAAGCTGCTTTAAGCCTTTATTAGAAAAAAGGCAGGATATAAATCTAACAAATAAAATAATAAAGGGGGCCATTTCAGTGGAGGCACCCAGTTGTGGAATGCCATTACAAAACAGGCTTGTTTGGCACCCATATTATGATCTTAAAGATCTTCCTCCTACCCCAACTCCAGGTATTTTAATCGGAAGGTTTTAAATACATACATACATACATACATACATACATACGTTCATTCTGCTGTATTCGTATACTGTGGCTGATCATTTTACTTTTATATTGTGGTGGTTTATTCTGTTTGGATTTTTGCTTGTTTTAATCTTTATGTTTTACATTTTATCATTAACTGCTCAGAGAATGTCACCTATTCCTCTGTGGGATGTAAGTGGCAACTATCTTCACAGTAGCAACCCTTTCCAATTCTGAAATGACTGGGTATGGAGAGTTGCACCCAGACACTGCTACCTCTCTTTTTGGGCCCACGAAACAAGCTGCAGTCAGGAAGCGCTGAGACTACGCTGGGATCACTCCTTAACACTGTGTGGCACAGCTGTGACTGAAGTGCTCCTGAAACCAAATATACCCCCAAAAGAACAATGACAAGGCTTAAGTATTTCTGTCCTGCCTCTCTGAACAAATAAAAACATTGTCAGTTGGTTTGCAATACAATGGCCACAAGAACACAGAAATTATAGAGACTAACAAATGAGATGCAAGAAGAGACTGCTATCTAGTCCTGTGTCAGAAGCTCAATCAAACACACACACACACACACACCCGACACCACTAAAAGTCAGTGTTCCCTTGGGAACCACTGACTTACCTTGTTCTGCTATGGAAGGCAGAGGCAGAACTGAAATGGGTTCCTTCCCTTCCAGGTGGTAACCCTTTCCTGCTTGCTCTACTCCTACATGGAGTGAGAAATAAATGTTTAAAATAAGATTAAATGCAGCTTCTGGCTTGTTTCTCTGCTTACATGAAGGGAGGATTGAAGTGGCTGTGTGGAAGTGCAGAAGGCTCATTCATACATTTGTTCAAGCTTAGCCATTGCACTCAATTATTTGAAATGTGTTAGTACTGAGATTCTCTTAGCTTTTACACAGGCATTTGAATATGTTGTTCAAAGGAAATATGTCCAAATGTGCAACAGTTAGATGTACAGTTCCCACAAAGCATTTCTCTTAAAGATGGCCCAAGCCTTGCTAAACATCTTATATTTTTTGATTATTCTCTCTCTCAGCCATTTTCAAGTCAACGTATATAAAAAAAATTTAGTAAGGATGTGGACTACATACTGGCCAGGTACCTTACAGCTCCTCTTCTCTTGTATTTGAACAGTCATACTCACCTGATAACAAAGGGAGAACACAGGAAAGATATAGAAAAGGGGGGAATTCTATTTTTATGTATGTTTATCTCATTTTGGTGATATTTTAGTTAGAAATATTATGATGGATGGGATTCACATAACTATTGACTATCACAAAGATTTAATCCAGAGGTGAGGAACCAGTGGCCCTTCAGATATTTTGGACTCCAATATCCATTAGCCCAGTCAGTGCAGCCAATCATCTGGAAGGCCACTAGTTGCTCCCTTCCTCATTTAATCACTTGGCCATCTTTCAACTCCATCATTATTCAAAAGGTTACTGAATTAAAAAGTAAAACAGGTGAGAAGCAAAAGGTGAAAGAAACAGGGTTAGCATTCTGAATCCAACTTTCCAGTAACTATCACATAGTGGCAAAAAGAACTACTACAATGACTACTGAGCAGAAGAGAGCAGCAGAAGAGGAAAAGCAAGAGACCTCTTTCGGAAGATCCATGGAATCAAAGGGAGATTCAAATCTAGGCTAGGAACGGTAGAAGACAAACAAGGGGACTTATCTGTTAAGGAGAAAATAAGAGAAGGTGGGGACAATATATGTAAGAGTTGTCTCCTGCAGAGGAGACAAAAAGGATGACAAGCTTCTTCTAAGAGAAATCCTATGAGGAAGAACCTGCAGTATCAGAAAGTGAAGTGAAAGCTGCTCTGAAAGCATTTGGAAGGATAAAACAAATCAGGGTAGAAAAGCTACCCACAGAACTATTCCAAGCTATACGTCCTAACAAGAATATGTCACCAAATATGGACAACAAAACAATGGCCCACAAATTGGAAAAGTTTAATATACATTCCATCCCCCCCCAAAAAGGAAAGGCTAAGTATTAGTGCAGTGACTATATGGAATGAGAAACTCCTGCTGTTCAAAACAGATTCTGAAAAGGAAGAGGCACTGAATATCATATTGCAAAAATATGTTAGCTACTGGAGTGTACCAAAAATTTTGAGAAGATGATCAGTATATTTTATGGACAATAGGAAAGCTTTTGACTGTGTGGACTGTGAGAAACTATGGATGGTTCTGAACGAATTGGGAGTGCCTCAGCAATAGATTGTCCTGATGCTTAACTTGCATCCTGGACAAGCAGCTACTGATATGGCAGAAAATGCAGAAACAGAAAGGGTTCCTACAGGCACAGGCATCAGACAAAGGTGTATTCCCCCCCCCCCCGTATGTTCCATCTATTTATAAAACATATCTTAATGAAAACTGGATTAGGATCAGAGGAAGAAGAAATTGGTGAAAATACATCTGTCATGTGTTACTTGGAGGGCAATTTATCAGAGGAAGAGGGAGACAACCAGCATGATGAGTACCAGCCAGACAGAGTCCAGCATGGACACTGAGTCTGCAGCCAACAGCCTTTCGTTAGACCACCAACCTGGGCTCTCCTGGGCTATCTCTGGATTTCCTCAAGGGTAGGAAGCAGAGCAGGAGGGAACATGTCCCATGGAAAGGAGAAAGATTATATGTAGGCAAAAGGCAGACTGTACGGCTTCCCTTAAAAGCTACTAGCTGACCTAGTTAGCCAGCTGTGCTGAGTTAAAGTCAGCTCTAAATTAATTTGTTCAGGTGCAGTCTGCTCTTTTTTGTTTTTGCAGACAACGGATGCCTCAGTGCTTGTTGGACTTTTTGGATTAAACAGATTTGCTGATGTTTGGCTATCTCCTTGAGCCATTCTTTCAGACACCCATGCCTGACCAAGATGCTCAATACAATAAACTCATATGGCCTTGACTCCTGGGTATCCCACCTGACTAATTACTCCCTGTGAAGGTACTATTGCCTGGCCTTGGCACCTGCAGGTTCAAGAGCAGGAAAACACCAATAATTTAAGATATGTAGATTACATCATATTAGTGGAAGAAAACAGAAGTGAATTGAAAAGCAAAAAAGGAAAGTTGAAAGACAGGACTGCAGCTGAACATAAAACAAAATCATGACTACAGAAGAACACAAGACTTTAAGGTGAGCCGCCCCGAGGCTTCGGCGAATGGGGCGGCATAAAAATGTTTTAATAAATAAATAAATAAGGTCAACAATGAAGAAATCTGCAAAGAGTATGTTCAGTTACAAAGATGATGATGGTAGAAGAAAGTGCTTCCCCCTAACTTGACCCATTTCATACAGCTAGGGGGGAAAAACTTGAGTTTTTATGGGTCATATCTGACAGTTTAGCTTACAGGTTCCAATAAAATCCTCTTCTCTGATAACTTAAGAGAAAATTTCTACTCTTAACTTTGGCTGCAAGGTGATTTGGCTTTCTCTAATCAAGAGACTGTACTACCCCTGAAGAACTGTTTTATTCTGTCAATATGACAGAATACAAAATATATACAATATTTTGAGAGCACAGTTGAATTATCCAGTACATGCTCATCCGGCAAAGGAACTCTTCCTTATTAAATATGAGAGGACATACAAAAGGTTTTTATTTCTCATCACCTTTCAACTAGTGTGGAAAAACATTCTTTAGAAGATGTGCTAGCCAAACCCATGTTTCTGTGATATGCCACTGTAAACAATTTGTTAAACTAAAAAAGGCACAATTCTCACACAGTCACCAACAGTCTGCCTAAATTAATCTTTCATATACACTAGTTTAAAATAACTTTTAAACCCCTACCTCCCACACTGCTTAATTTTCAGCAGAATTTGTGTGTTCACAAGTAGCAATCACAGTCTCAATTCAAGGGTTGGCCACCCTGCTTTGTTTTGCCTCTGTAGTAGGACACCATGAAGTTCAGTTACGGTATTATTATTTAAACAAGGTATTATTTAGGGCATTAGACCATCAGCAAGCGAACTGTGCTTTCGCTGAGTCCAGTCATACTTCTCTGTGATCCCATCAATATGACCTTAAATATCCTCTCACCTCTTCCACCAAGGAAGATAAGGACTGGAGACATTTCCTGAAATTACTTTGATTTATCCTGTCTTTTGTAAGGTTAATTAAAAAGTCACCTAGCTATTTCTCTTAACTTTGGTTTTAGATCCAGACCTCTAACCAATCATAGTAATCACAGTTCCCCTCTGATAAAAACAGGATGGCCTGGGTGGGGTTCAAACATGACTTTTTCAGTTTTATATATAAGCTGAAGGCTTCTGAGAATCTCGCTGTGAATGCAAGAGCATTAAGCAACTTGTTCTTTGATTGTAACTGGCTGTGAGGTGTTTTTAATAAACCAACACCTCAGTTTTCAGGTTTTATTGCAGTGTTGTCACTTTGCGATAAATAAGTGGGTTTTGGGTTGCAGTTTGGGCACTTGGTCTCTAAAAGGTTCACCATCACTGGGTTAGGGTGAGAAAAATGAGGTGTCCTGGTATGATTTTCATGGCTGGAATGTGTTTAGAAGGGGCAGAAATGATGAGCTGTGCAGAAAAAGCTGCTCAGGGAAGGCTGTTTCAAAAGTCCAACAGAAGAGAGTCAGGCACGATATTGTAGCATTATGGTTCTCAACACAGCCTTAGTTTTCCAGTCACCTTGGTATATTAAGTTGTTCAGAGAGCAAAGGCCCACCAACTGGAAGACTTGGGTCAATCTTTACATAAAGCCCCAATCTTCTCCCACAGAAAGTTTATATCTGGCAATGGCAGTGCAGTAGTTTGCAGATTTAAGGTCAAGCACTGTAGACAAGCAAATGTGTCTCCCCACCAAGTCAAAATAACTTCCTTCCCTGTCTACAGGGGCAGCATGAGAACTGTGTGACTGACCCTGAGACGATTTCACAGTGATAGAATTTGGTGTTGGAGGGGTAAAAAGAAAAGCTGTGTTCTTTTCTTGTAATTCGTTCATAAAATCCATGTTTTTTCAGTGTTATCAATGATTTGCAGGACTGTTATATTGTCTGGGCAGTGCTGGAAGAAAAGAAAACACTACCAGAATTGAACATTCCAACATGATAATGTCAAGGCCTGGATCCTCCATCGTTGGTACTGATCATTAGCTATGCAGGCCAAGGGAGTGAGCCATACAGTCTGTCTGTCTTCTGAAGGTGAAACCATGTCTCTGCTCCTGGCACTGTTATCTGCTGAAGCAACAGATGGAACCATAGGAGTAAGACCCAGCTGCACCAGACCAACCCAGTGTCAGGAGGCCTGTTCCACTGGTGATTAGAGTCAGAACAACAAGAAGGCAATGGCCTAACCTCTAAAGCAGTAGACAAAGCAATAGTAGTCACTTTTGACAAGGAAGGTAACTGCATATCCACTGCAAAGCAAGGAAGATGTACAACCTGTAGGGCTCTCTTCCAGAGGAAAGCCCTTTATTTCTCAGGACTTCTTCCCTGGATCTTTTCATGAAAGCCTGACAATGTGGGCAAAAATCAAATATATGTCTCTCCAGCAAAGAAGGCAGAGTGAGTTGGTGGAAGCTTGTTGTCATAGTGCACAAACTTCCAAAAAGGCACCTTCAAGGCCATATACTTCTCAGGTGAGAGATGTCATCGCAGATTACCAGAAGTAGAAGAAACACTCAGTGGCCTTAGCAAAAGATACAGAACTTTCTCTTGAAAAGACAGTGCTTACTACAAGGGAACCACACGGTAGTTGAAGAAGAACGGAGGGAATGAGCAGTATTCCACTAATGATATGTGGTGGGAGTGGGTTCTCACCAAAAATTCCTCAACTATAAAACCCTCCTGAATTAAGGCTCCTCTCAGGCACAGATCTCATATATGGGATGCACACCAACCATGAAGAACAACCATAATTTTCCATTACACATGAATCTGGACTATCTGTAGGGGCAAGGCAACTTTCCAGCGCTGGGAACAATCACTCAAATTGTCAGCAGCCACACTGCAGGAACATACCCAAAATATTAAATTTGCTGAAAATACATACTTGAAGTTCTCTTTGAAGGAGTGATTCAGAGGATCATTTTCTAAGCAAAACAATTGTTTTTGTTCTATTAATTCTTGTGTATAATTAAGAAATCTGTCAGTCTTTAAAAGTTAGGGTGAAGGAACCATACAGTATAGTAGATCTTTGTACCTTCTGCAAAATTATGGTTGGATAAAGATTTAAATGTACCTTCTAATACATTCTGAAAATCTTATACCATCACCAAGTGGGTCCCTTATGAATTTATGTTGACTGGAAATTTGGCTAGAAAACTGGCTCTTATATGTATTGTGGTCCAAGAAAACTCACCTCGGCTTTAACTATCCGATCCACAATGGTCTCCAGCGTTTCCAGCTTACTGCATTTCACTACACCTTCAAAATACTGAGAGCGGTGTTGGAGAGCTTGTGTCACTGTGATATCTAAATTATTATAAGTTTTTTCAGCAGCAAGATTCTGAAAAAAAGCAGTCACATAAGGCTTGATTCCAATTCTTATAAACACACAATGTTTACATTTATTCCATTAGATCAGAAGTGTGATTTTTGTTATGGCTTTAATGAATGGCTTTCATCAACAAAAAATAGTCCTTCACCTGTTAAAGGGGCAATTCATGTTTATATGTATATGCAGAAGTGATGTTACAAACATTTGTAAAATTAAGACAAACCTGCATCTGATCTCCTAATCATGATTCGGAGAGCAGGAAGCATTATATCTGGTCTAAGTCATGGAGCACTGCAGACTGTTGTCATATATTGATTGTTACCAGCTCCTTTCTACTCTAAGACCAGGTTCAGAAGAGCCACATAATTCGCAAGTGCCACATTACATATGCAATCCCTGCTCAGGATTTGGCAAGCTTTGAGTAAACTTAAAACTGCCCAATGATTATGCAAGGGTTGTTTAACCCTGGCTGGATTCACGTGACAGCACAACTCCTTAAGCAGAGGTAGCATATTCAAAATGATGGCTGCCTGCATCCTGCATGCATTGCGGTCTCATGATAACCCACATACACGAATCCCTCCACTGAAAAACTCTGGTTACAGAAGGCCAAGTGGAGATGCAAGCAGGTGATGCAAGCTGTGGTCTAGACAAGAGAAGGAAAATACACACCAAGTCGGTATTGCCTCATTGACAATGTGGACTGCAGCTTAGAGGACCTGCAAAGCAGGCTCTCAACTGAGTGCTGACAAGGTCTCCTACTCCCAGCACTTGTATCTTAAGGAATCACATGAGCTTGCCCATGTATCGCTAATGAGTGAAATGTGCATGCTGAAACAAATGGGTGACTGAAGTCATTTTTTCTTCCCACCACTAGACTGTTTTGGCAACACTTCCCTAGATAATATACCCAAACAGCCTGCTACTCTAAGGGTCCATCCCATGCAAAGGGCACTATAACATATGAAACACCATGCAATCTGTGAACTAGATGGACCTTTGGTCTGATGTAGCATGGCTCTTATGTTTTTATGCTCTTAAATAAGAGCATGCCCTAGTTAAGGCAATACTAAAGTGGGCAGAGTGGTGGGAGACATGGGGGATGATCAAAATAATCCTATAACATCCCATGGATCAGTGAAGGGTTGTTTCCCCCTCCAGAAAACAATGCTTCCTGGGTCCAGATAACAAGATGCATCCAGACTGTCATGATAGAAATTGCACTTTATAAGCATTAGAAACAAATTAAACTGTGGTGCCTTATTTTGATCAAGTGAACCACCCCAGAGATAGTGAGTAAGCTTTCAGGAAAGTTATTTTCATACTAAATAAGCCCAGGGTTCCCTAAACTACAATTTGAAAACCACTTCAAGGCTAAGTAATTATGACATCTGAGCCAAAATTTACCAAACAGAAAAACAGAAATATTTATATTATCAAACAGCATCACAGAAATATTTAACAAAATACATAAAATAATAATACTTACTATTACATCAAATTTGGAATAAATATCTACAACTTTTCCTAAAAAATGGAAAACAAGAAATTTTTATAATGTGTCAGTAAATAACTGACAAAGCAAATACAAAGTTTATACAGTTTCAGTTATGTTGCATTCTAATAAAAATTAAATATTGTTTTCATTATAATAGGTACTGTCATACTAGGTATGGCCTGCTGGATTGCCTCTGAAATCAGCCAGATAGTGAAGTACAATCAAGTTCAGGATAGGTAGGATGATCTGATCTGATTCTTAAACCTTAGTTATTAGGAATTCTCAAGAAGTATTTTAGGTTCTCCACCACTGTAAATTTAGCAGCATTAGCACACATGCTAATTAGCACAATTCTTTTCTTGGTCTGATTTTCTATTACTTTTGTCTCATAAATGAATCAAGCGGCAGATTTTCTTGCAAGGTCAAGCAAAGTATTTTCATGTGTACACAGTGAATTTCATGTTATATAAGATGGCCTCACTGCTCTCCATCTCCTACCTGTTTCGACCATATTAGTCTGTTTTAAGGCTGCAACTGGCTTAACTGTGGAAGGTGTCTATTGTGCCAGAGACTGTGAGGTTTGCTATATTTTACTAGGACTCTTATTTCCCACAAAGCAAATAGCCCCACTGGCTACTTTTTTGTGGCATGGCATGAATATGAAGGTTAATGAAAATGTCTGTTAGGTCAAACAATGATGGCAATTTTCTTGGTAGTGGAAGAGAGAACTCTCTTGCTTGCATGGCTTTGTAGATGAAAGGAGGTAAAATGCCAAGAGAATACTGTGAACTGGCAAATAATAAGCTCATGAATATACAAAGACCAAGTTGAAAATAAAACTTTTGAACCATTGAGTATGTATTGTTTTAATCTGGGTTGAGGCCTAGTTGTGGAACAGAAATAGTTTTAGAGGATGAACCCCACTGGAAGTTAGACAGGGGAACAGATCCTTGCTGGTTCTCTAAGAAGCATTTACTACCCTGTCCATTGCATCCTTATGCAATGCTTGGCTTGTATGGGACTTAAAGCACTGTTTTGCATATGTTCCAATCTTATCTGGCTGAGCACCAGCAAATGGTGGTGCTGAAGGACTCTTGTTCAACACCGTAAGATTTCTCAAGGCTCTGCTTGTCTCCTATGCCTTTTAATACCCACGTGAAGCTATTTTTTGGAAAGGCCATCTGTAATTCTGGGCTTGGATCCTAACCTTATCCTAGGTGCAGAACTTGGCATTTGTCCCTATTAAATTCCATGCTGTTGTTTTCACCCCAGCGCTCCAACCTATCCAGATCAATTTGAATTTTGTTTCTGTCTTCCAGGGTATTAGCTATCCCACCCAATCTTGTGTTATCTGCAGTAGTACTACTTCCTGGTTTGGGTAAAACTGGGATATGAGTTCAGCTAAAAACAAACAATTGGGTTAAAGAATGACTTTATGCTTACAAATGTAAGGAAAGGTGGTTTATGTCAAAGGGCACAAAGCTCTGAAGCCCTATGAATGAACACAAGGGCAACTCCACAGCTGATGTAGTTAAGGAGACATGGGTCTATAGTGGCAATATAGTTTGATGTGTTTGGCAGTTAACTGAGAGAGCAAAACTGAAAGGCCCCACAGAGGAGTGGGGGCCATAGCTGGTGGTATAAGTTAGTGAGGCCTTTAAGAAACTTCTACCATCTAAGGGAATACTCCAGACTGAGAGTGAGGTGAAGAAAGAGATCTGGCTAAACCATTTTTGTGAGTCAAAAAATGGCAAGACCAGACAAGGGGACCTTACATTGGAAGGGGGGAGGGTCGCCCAGCATGAATCTGGGGAACAAACTTGACCTGGGGTGGATTGCCATATGAAAACAGACATTTCTAAGATTTAAGGTAGTGAAACATTCTTCCTGGTAAAGGAGGGAAAGTATGGCAAAAATACCTTAAAATTGTGGAGGTATATGGAGCTGCTGATGTTGGGAAGGCCCAATATAAGGCAAAGGTTTTCTTCCCTTTGGGGGATAGTAAGGTATCTTGAAAAGAAACCTCATGCCTTTAGAGTGAGGGGCATCTTATATATCACATCCACACACAGAAGAGTAGCAATTTCTTTCTTGGATACTGATGTAGGGTGAATGGAACAAAAGATCCCTAGCAGGGTAAAAGCAGGTTGCTTACCTGTAACTGATGTTCTTCGAGTGGCCATCTGTGCATCACACATATGGGTGCTGTGCCTGCGCAGTGCTTTTGGCAGGAAGATTGATAGCTAACTTTTTTTGGGAGGGAAGCTCCGCTCCCCCTCCCCCCCATAGCCTATATAGAGCGGAGCGTCCGCCATTTTGTTCAGTCTTTGAAGACCAAACATTCGCCCCCATGTGGAAAAAAGGAGTCCCTACTAAGATGATATCAGCACTGTGAATGAAAACGGTTCGGTACCGATGAAAATGTTTCCATTCACCGACACCGAGCAGGGCCGGCAGGTGGGTTATGTGACTGCACAGATGGCCACTTGAAGAACATCAGTTACAGGTAAGCAACCTGCTTTTCTTCGTCATGGCCTCTGTGCATCACACATATGGGTAGATTAGCAAGCTTACCCTTATTGGAGGAGGGGAGGTGTTGTTAACGAAGAATAGACGAAAGAACGGCTCTGCCAAAGGAGCAGTCTTGTATTGCATGAACATCCAGCCGAGAATGCTTAGTGAATGTACATGGAGTAGCCCAAGTGGCAGCTCTGCAGACATCGTCAATTGGAACTCCCAACGCGAAGGCAGAAGAAGCAGCAACAGCTCTAGTAGAATGACCCCTTGGAATTGTAGGTAAGTCAATCCTGGACAGCTGATAGAATAGAGTAATTGTATGAACTATCCACTTAGAGGGTCTTTGAGTGGTAATTGGAAGACCCTGATTCTGTTCCAAGTATTTGACAAAGAGCTTGTTGGAACGTCGGATAGACTCGGTCCTCAATCTGTAGAAGGCCAGGCAGTGCCATACTTCGAGAGTATGTAAAGATCTCTCGAGCAGATTCGTTGGGGACAGAAAGAATGCGGGTAAGACAATGTCCTGTCCCATGTGAAAGGAGGTAGTCACCTTGGGAACAAAGGATGGATCCATTCGCAAGACAACTTTCTCCCTGTGGAAATTTAAATATGGAGGATCGACCCGCAGAGCACAGAGCTCACTAGCTCTTCAAGCTGATGTTACTGCTACCAGGAATGCCATCTTCCAGGAAACAAGATGCAGATCGATGGTCGCCAAGGGTTCAAAAGGAGCTCTTGTAAGCGCCTGTAAGACCACGGAAAGACTCCATGTAGGCATCACCGGTCTGACCGTCGGGTTAAGGTTATAAAGTCCCTTGAGGAATCTCTTTATAAGTGGTTGAGAGAAAATGGATGAACCTCGAACTGTGCCATGGTAATAGGAAATTGCTGCCACGTGAACTTTTATAGAAGACGGCTTCAGTCCAGAATGGTGAAGTTCTAATAGGAATTGAAGGATTTGATGTATAGATGCTGAGAGTGGAAGGAATGCACAAGACTCGGCAAAGGTAGAAAAGCATTGCCACTTAGCTGCATATGACTTCCGTGTTGACGGCTTTAACGCAGAATCAAGAGTGTGCTGAATGTCTGGATGAAAAATTGTCGAATCCGACTGAACGTTCGTTGGATCCGATGACTCAGGAAAGACGAATGGATTCAAAGCGTGTAGCAATGTGTCGGATCCGGGGACAGGATCCAAATCACGTGTAGATGCTGTCGGTACAGTTGACACTGACTCGGATTCTCCAGGCTGTCAATTTCAATGACGTTAAATCTGGATAGCAAATCGTGCCTTCTCGCTGGGTAATGAGATACGGAATGAGTGAAAGATGAAGATATTCTTCTTGAGAGATGTGAAGAAGTGTAGAAAACCAGGCTTGGTGCGGCCACCAAGGGGTGATCAGCAGTCCTGTGGCCCCGTCGTGAATTATCTTCAATATCACTCTCATAATGAGGGGGATCGGAGGGAAAGCGTAAATTTTCCGATTGTTCCAAGGGATCATAAAGGCATCCCCTAATGATCCGTGTCCGATTCCCACTCTTGAGCAAAAAGTCTCGCATACCCTGTTCTGTTGGGTGGCGAATAAGTCTATTTCTGCAAAATCCCAGTGATAGAAAAGGTGGTTGCATGTCTGGGGGTCTAGTTCCCATTCGTGAGATGCGGACATGTGTCTGCTCAGAAGATCGGCTTCCACATTGTCCATACTCGCAAGGTGTACTGCCAAGAGAGTAATGTCTCTCGGGATGCACCATTCCCAGATTTGCATCGATAGTTGGTGACTTTGTCCCTCCTTGTTTGTTCAGATAAAAGACTGTGGTGATGTTGTCTGAGGTTATCTGAACTACTCGGTCCCGAAGAATGTCCTCGAACTAGCGTAGAGCCTTGAATACAGCCAGGAGTACTAGGAAATTGATATGATTCCTGGATTCTTGTTGATTCCATACGCCCTGAGTCTGTAGGTCGGAGCACACTGCTCCCCATCCCAGCAGGAATGCATTGGTACCGAGAGATATCGAAGGGCATCGGGGCCGGAAAGGCACCCCCACATTTAGATTGGTCAAAATTGTCCACCACAGTAAAGAGTGAAGGACAGAAGATGGGATCCAAAGTAATTTCATCGGAATGTTGCTTTGTGGCCGGAACACTTTGTTGAAAAAGAGTTGGAGAGGACGGAGATGAAGTCTGGCATGTGGGACAACGGCAACTGACGCAGCCATATGTCCCAAGAGTCTCTGTATGGACCGGGCAGGAACGGTCCTGTCTCATAGGATCGAATGGATGTGCTGAGCAAGAGCTTGCTGTCGGTCCTGTGGGAGGAATGCTCTTGCCATCACAGAGTCTAGGCGAGCTCCAATGAACATGATAATTTGTGTAGGAACAAGAGAAGATTTCTCGTTGTTAATACGAAGTCCAAGATTTTGCAGTAGGGAATAGGTTGTCTGTATCGCAGCAATAAGTCCTTGTCTGGTTTGGGAGACTAGCAACCAATCGTCAAGATAAGGGTAAATCTGG